TTATTCCAACAGTGCAATGGGCTTTGAAGGGTGTCAAGACTGCATTACGATACTTGTTAGATACAGGAGACAATATAGAATCAATTATAAGGAGAGCACGAACTATGAAGAAGGATCTACAGAAATTACTAATGAAAAAGTACGAAGCAAACAATTGAAAATAAATTGATTTTTAAGGAAAATAAAGGTGTTGGAATTTTCAGTTCGTGCTGTTAATGTATTTTTCTATATCTCTATATTAATAAAATCAATCGTTATAGAGAAATTCTGTTTAATTTTGATATCCTGGGATATAGTGAACCAAAAATGTTAGTCCCCAGAAGTTCACTATAACCGGAGTCGCGTATATGTTGTTTTTGTATGGTTAATTTTTAAAATTGAAATTAACTGCTACTGAATCATACCTAATCGCAGTTGAAATAAATCCAATATAATATAAAACATTCGTATTTGTCAATGTGGTTGTAATTAATGCAATTTTTAGAGAGAAAACGTCGACAAAATTTTACGCTCTCTGATTTACTTCCGAAGTTGCTGAATGTGACGTATAGTATATAATGACGTGAGCTGTAGTATTTATTAACTCCTTTTCTCAGCAACCGCAGAACGTACATCTTTCGTGGGACGCAACATTGAAAGTTACATGCAGATTTTAACGTCCAAGTTCGACAAAGAGTGTTTCGTCATTTTTGCATATTACATCACCTTGCATTTTGAAACGTGAAACATAGATAAAAACTGGTTGAAGTAGCTCAGGGAATCAGCTAGTGTCAATGCAGTACCTCTGACCGGGAGGTCCTAGGGATCCAGACCCGACGGTTGCAGGATTTTCGACACTATCTACATAGCAAGGCCGCTGTATAGAGGAGAATTCTAGCGGCCGGCTGTTGTGATCGGAAGTTCTCCATACTTTCGCCGATGAACACCAGCGGAATGTCACGGGAATACCCTAACAAAGGGGCCACGGACTGCGCACGCTCTATCCATTCTGTTATTGCTTGTCCTATCCTCACCCCATACTTACCCACATTTATTCTTACACGTATTCTACTTCCACACATGTAGGGATACCAGTGGTACCGCTGGAGGAAGATACTTAAAAGGGAACACCGCAAGCCAGCATGTAGGTCGGAGCCAAATCTCTTTACTTAGCAGCTAATGTGTTTAGATTTCGGGAGCTCGCAATAATTTTTAAACCAAATGACTCCTAAAGTGAAACGTTTCAACGATTGATTGACGCACGTGCCGTCTAAACTTTTCCCAACGAGATAAAATAAATATGAAAAATAATGCGTGGTTCCACTGTAGAATCGTTTTCGTTAGAAAATGAATCGTTTTCTTTACTACTTTATCGATATAAGTACTACATGACATCACGAAGTATATAATGTGAGATATATGAAGAACATTCATATCAGTAATCATTCTATTTATGGTTATATATTATTTTTATCAACAAATTGTATATAATACATACATTATGGCCGGCCATAAATTTAATGAGCTCTTAGATAAACTTTTGTGTGCCTCCCCCTCCAAACTTTCTCAGCCCAAGAGTATCCTTTAATTATCTCAAATATTAGTACTCACAATAATAATAATAATAATAATAATAATAATAATAATAATAATAGTAATAATAATAGTAATAATAGTAATAATAATAATAATAATAATTATTATTATTATTATTATTATTATTATCATTATTATTATTATTATTATTATTATTATTATTATAGCAGCTTATGAAAGCGACAAACCTAAAATTTTCAGAATAACTTGATATCTTCAATTAAAAAGACTCGCCGCAATAAATTATCAATTTGTTGTAAAATTGATTTTGATAGAATGTTAAAAACGTTTTATTGCGTCGATAATATTGAATTTACAAACTAATAAAAAGTATCTCTAACAACCTTGACAGTACATGTATGATCGCTAAGCAGACAGTTCGGCAAAAATGTCTAACTTAAAAAAAAAAAAAAACGAAGAATAAAGAAAAGAAATATGTAGAGATTTATGGAATAAGGGAGCACTTTGGAAGAATAATTTGAACGGTAATACATTCAATTCTTTTAGAAAGATGCAATGTACCTATATAACTAAATTGCCATCGATGAAATTAGAAATAGACGTACGTAAAAACCATTTATAAATAAATATTGTTAATATATCTAATACATAAAAATATTATTAATATGTATAATTTTTAGTCTGTGAAGAAGCTTCTGTGATAATTTCTCCTATTCCACCGTACGACGTTCCAAACTAATCGGTCTCCGTTCTACAAATCGGACTTGACTGTAAAGGAGACCGGTGTATTTCGGTGGAATGATATTCTTGTTATTTATGCATGCAAGAGCAGCTTTGGAGCTCTTCATAGCTACTACTGAATTTACCTCTCACCTACGCAACTTTAAATTGTCCCCACGCCGCAATGAGTTATGTGCTCTTAAGCCTTTGCTTGCGGGAGATTTGCGGCCTCGCCGTTTCCCCAGCAGGGGCTTAACGCTACCGCCGATTGTCACCGGACGTATAAGGTGCTCTGGAGCCTACACCAATCCCGAAGTTTTACGTAATCTATGCCCCAAATCCCAAGGACCAAACACAATCGAGGTATCCTAAAGGCACAAACGTGCCTTGTACTTAATTAAGATCCCTTTAACATGTAGTAGTGTTTTCTAACAAATGCCCGCTTGTCGATAATACATGGGTATCTTCTTCAATGGCTTTGTTTACATAATTTGTAGGATTCATTAAAGAAAGGGGAATAATATACTCTGATATTTGTCACGAATTAATTGTAACGTCGATTGCCCTGTTTCCGGGCAACTTTTGCGGTCATTAGCCACGTCAGTGTAGTGAATGATTTTATATCTGGAACTGGCAGTGTCCATCCCCGAGATGGTAAGATCCAGCGCCGACATACACATCGAAGTGCGGAGTTCCTTCCCAATGCCTACGTCCCTCAGCTGAGTACCGCCACAGCCAGGAGAAGTTCTAAGCTCCCGTCTGGTCTGAAGGGTGTCTGAAGAGTGAGGATAGGACAGAGAAGAGGACAGAAAGATCATGCGCGGTCTATGGCCCATGTGTTACGATATTGCTCCTGCATTCGCCTGGTATTGATCGGAGAAACCCCGTAAACTACCGATCAAAAGCAGCCAGCCAGTAGAATTCTCCACAGCCAGGAGATGTTCTAAGCTCCCGTCTGGTCTCCTAGTGTAGTGCATTGTAAGTGTCTGAAGGGTGAGGATAGGACAGAGAAGAGGACAGAAAGATCATGCGCGGTCTATGGCCCACGTGTTACGATATTGCTCCTGCATTCGCCAGGTATTGATCGGAGAAACCCCATAAACTACCGATCAAAAGCAGCCAGCCAGTAGAATTGTCCACGCCTGAAATCAACCCAGATATACAGCTTGAGTCGAAAACACGCCACCGTCGGGACTCAAACCCTAGTACCTCCCGGTCAGAGTAGCTGCCAAGTCAGCGGCAATGAGCTGGCTCTGAACTAATTGCAACAAGTACTGCTGTTTTTTCTGTTATCTACATTTGAGTAGTGGGTAGAAAATGAATTGATGTACTCAGCATGTTGATGTACTTACGCGAGTTTTTAGGCAAACAATTTCATTATAACTAATACTCGTCATTAATCATTATTAATGCAAATTGTGATTGAGGAGCCTTTATTCCTTATTAATGTTTTCAGATTTCATTATCCTCCGTCCTTTTTTAATTCTTTAAAAATCCTGGATTAGTGTGTTATAGAACTCGCTCTCTGTCGATCATGGTCTTCATTAGTGTGAGAAAATATTTTTTTTCCTGACAAAACAGAGATTCTAAGTTGATGTAAGTCTAACCTAAACTTTACGATGAAAACATAGTTAAAATAACAAAAACAATAATGACTCACAGATATCATAAATATGATATTCAGTTGTTTGTATCAATCGCATATTTTTAAGTATTGGGATTAATACGTACATGAAAGACGCATCTTCACAAAACAGTCATTCTACTTCATGATGAATGTTAAAAAGAATCAGATTATTTTCTCAGTTCTCTTTCACGCAGTCATTCAGGGAAAATTACAAATAGTGCCGTTTTACATCTTATTTTTAAACTTTATTTTTAAACTAGTAGGCTTAGCCAATAATTGAAATTATCGCCTTTAAATGGAAATTCTGTAATGTTTCATTTCTGGTTTATGTTACATTTCCATGCTAACAATGCTTCATAATTCTGAAATTATAACTCTTTTAAAAACAATGTAACAGTAATTAGGTAGGTAACTTTTGTTGTTTGAAAAATTTAACTATTTTTATTGTACTTCAATTATTTTGATCATAAATGCTGTTAAAATAGAGTATTAAATTCTAGAAATAAAAAGAAAATACAAAACAAAAACACAACAGAATGAATTGCCAGTTACCATTTACGTATAATTTGCCAAAGTTCGTGCACAAACAGCCGTTTTTGTAGCAAATGTCTATTTTGACATATATACTGGTACACTTGTTAATTGACTAGTGTTATTACGTACTTGTATTATAACACGACGCATTACTTTTTTTCCTTTTTCTTTTGTGTGTGTGTGTCAATCACAGCTCTAAAACAAATTTTGAGAAATGTATGGACGAAGTACTAAATATCGGTTTTGCAAGACAAAATAGTAATATCATTAGATGATTAATTTGCATCATATTTTAACAATAAGAATTTTACGTCATTAGTATGTGACACATTTTTCTTTTACTTTAATCTTTTAATAACATTTTTTATAATGTACTTATTGTTGATCAATATATTTTCTTTCTTGCATTCGCGTTTCTCAGTATTAATTTGAGTAGTTAACATATATTTATGAATATTTAAATGTGTAATAGTATAAATAATATCTTTATTTAAATAAATTGTTTGTGTTTTCAGTTTCTATTTCACTAGTGCTCCGAAGCCAATCAATAATTTCATGTTCCCGCCAGTTTGCGCAGTCCGCCATGTTGGCTGCTCCCGCCAGCCAAATACGCTCGGCTTTTGTCGTTCCCACCATGCACCTCGGGACAACATGAATGTGTAGGTAAGTGTTTATGGAGCTCAGTCGGGGCTTGGTGGATTCAGGGGAGCAATCGGACGCTACTCGGACCAACCGAAGTGATCCTAAGCTAGCCTGAATGCATCCAAGACTTTAGAAATATTATACATCATATGGTACATTCAGTTTAAGCTTATTCAAGGTAAACAATCTTCAACATTTTTAGAGGTTACCGTTCGCCTCAGCTCGCTGTTACTGGTATTATTTTACTTTTTTACCCCGAGTGCGTAACATCATTTGTTTTCATGCGTTTGTTATTAACATTTATGTATGTAAGTGACTTTTAGTTGTGACATTGTCAGGAATTACTAGCTTACGCAAGGCCGTGTGCTTGCCATAGTTGTGTGTTCACAAATGGTTTGTTTACATCAGCCGGTTTTATTTGGCGGCATCTCTTATCATGTGAAATAGTTTTTGAACGTTTTGTACGTGTCACTATTTAGTTGCACTCCATTGTCATGTTTTTGTAGACTGGTGAATATTGTGTGAAGGTGTTGACAACTCTGTTTTCTTCATTAGTGATGGTTCATAAGAAAGACAAATGGAATTGTTAAGCCTTGACATAAAAGTTTCAAGATTTTTTGTGAGCCTTGTTAGATAATGACAGTCTACTGTTGATTAATTTTTTGTTTCAATGTTGATTTTAATGTCATGCTTTTTTTTATTAATATGTGGTTTTTGAAATTTTCAGATGGAAAACTCTGCCTATGTTCCCAACCCATTGCCACCCCCAGCACTGGTAGTATTTTCTCAGGCAGGTGGGCTGCCTGAGGCCCTTAGAATGCAGAGACCCTTCAACCCACAGGTATTTTTATTTTTGTTGTGATTTTTTGTGTGTTTTCTAGTTTTGAAAAAAATAACAACAAAATAGAATGGATATATTTCTTTAATAATTGAGTGGCCATTCTCATGACTTCAATGATCTGTTTCAGGCCACAGAAGCTAAAGATTTACACACTCCATTTTCTGCCGGGGGTTTTGGCCTTCGGCATATGGACAGTTATCCCAGCCTACCTGCACATTTATTACACCATCTTCAGTCTCCTTTCTTGCATCCTGCCCTTGATCCTAGAATTCCATTTGGTTCTGGTGCATTTCGTCCTCTGGGTACCTCTTCTACATCAGAAGTTAAAGGTTTCCCATCTGCCTTTGCACCACCATCTAAGTGTCTGAAGATTGAAACAGGTGGTTCAAATCTTCACGACACATCTCCTACACCGACAAACCATTTGTCAACCTTATTTTCACCTGGGGTAGTAGAGGAACGGGCATATTTGAATGGTCAAACTTCTCAACCTTCTCAACATCAGCGTGCCGATTCCAGTTCCCCTGCAAGTGTATCAGTTTCACCTCCTCTTCTCCCGCCTGTTGTTAAGGAGGAAAGTTCAGACGCTCCAATGTCAGAAGATCGTGAAGGCACTGCAACACCTGGGTCAGAGGGAACAGAACGGTCAACGCCAGAGGAAGGCCGAGGATTCAGACGTGAGTAACCCATCTTTCATTTATATGAGTATTGTTGTTCCAGGCGTGGGTATGCTTTCTTTTTCCCTAACCCAAGTAACATTCTTTTTGTACTGTCACTCCTATTTTATTTTCTGAAAGTATCTGTTCTGTGAAAAAGAATTGCATGGTTAAAGGCAAATTGGATTCATTTGTTGTCTTGTGGAGTTTGTTTTATTTGTCTGTGCCATATTACTTTTATTTGCATTGCAAGAATGCTCACTGTGGTTGAGTGCAATTTGTTGTGAAAGCATTTAAAATTATGTCGACACACACTTGTACAAAATAATGACAAGAAGTAAAATTTGGACTTGCTTTTCATAATGTAAATATTCTGTCTCAGTAAATGTAAACTCTGATGTGAATTAGTTGTCATAAGAAATTTACTGTATTGATAAGTTAGAAATTTCACTATTCTCTTCAACTGTGTGAATGAATCTTGTAAAAGTGCAAATTCTAGAATTTTCTAAATCTTTCAGGTATTACTCACAATGTCAATTGTAACAAGTTTCTTAACAGTTATTGGTACAATACACAAATAATTCCCAAGAAGTATTGGTTACGGAATTTCGTATTTGCACTGTGTCAGATTCATTTATGCATGTGGAAACAATATAAATGATGTGGTGGAAGTAGAAAGAGGTATGAAATGTAGCAGCCAGCTAGCAGCCTAGCATGTGCATTGTTGTCAGCCAAGGAGCTTAGTGTTCTGCCCCCAAGCTGTTGAGAGACAGGGTGCTGCTGCTGCCTTGAGAAGAAAGATAGTGTGTTCTTGGTCAGGAGCGCGGCAGCCTAGAGCCCCAGGGCTTGTGGCTGTAAACACTGGCTGCTTAGCTCAGCCATCATGCCAGGAGAAACGCTGCCAACACTGTTCATGGCGAGATGCATGTGTCTTGAAGAGATATTATTAGACATGATATGCAGGGTTGACATGAGAAGGGGTTTACCGTGGGGACAAAAGGATTAGAAATTATTGCTGCAAGAACGAAAACGACAGCATTGTATTGTACGGTAAGATGCATAACGGTAGAGACGACTCTATGGAACGGGCGTTCTGAACGAATGAAATTGTATCTGTACTATTAGGAGAAGCAAATCGTGTGTAGGAAGGGCTAAGCCGCCCCGCGAACAGGCGAGAGTAGGAAGGGGCGTCGCGAGTCGAGCGAAGTCGCGCCGCGCGGCAGCCTCTTGAATCGCGTGCGAATCGGCGGGGCGCAGCGGTGGCGGCGCCCGCGGAGAGGCTGGCAGCGAGCGCCGCCGCGCCGGCCCGGCCGCCGCGGCGCCGCGCTCAAACGGCCCGGCGGGAGATCGCCGCGCCGTGCGCCCCGCTCGCCCGCCCCGCTCGCCCGCCGCCGGTCCTAGACGAGGCTTCCGAGCGGCAAGGCGTGATGCGCTGATTGCTATTTTAGAGCGATGAAAGCGATGTAAAATAATGAAATGTTGCTTTTTACGGAGCAGGGTTGACGCGACTGTCATTCTAAGGTTCCCTTTTTTTTAGTTTGATGGTGAATCTGCCAATCGAAGTTGTTTTAATGTAATGAAGCGTGCAATTAACTTACAAAATAGGCAGAATGTGGAGAATAGTATAGATTCGAATGAATTCAAAGCTTTGGTTGGTTTTTTTTAGGGGTGTACTCTATCTCGTCCGGTCATTGCGGCATTTATCTATTCATCTTCCCTCAGCCACATCATTGGTCCGCGCCGGCACTAGAAAGAGCCCCTTGGCGTGGGAAGAGGGGTGTCGCAGCCGGTGGCAGGGACACGGGAGGCTGGCAGCGAAGCCGTGTCCGGCGAGGTACTCGTCGTGCGCGGACATGTCGGCCGTCCTCACACTATCAGGCGCGGAATGATTGATCGGCGAGGAGAGAGACGTTGTGTGATGGATAGGAATTTAGGCGTAAGTCAATATGCCTCCTAATGAGGTGCGGGGGAGGGGTCGGGGCGGGCGCGCTGCGCTCCCCGCGGTGTCTCTTTACGGGCGGGAGGCGATCCGCGGCCCCCGAGGCCGCCGGCCCCGGCCCTCGTCTGAACGTCCGAGCTGCCCCTTAGTACCACGCGGGAGCTTTTTATCACATTTTGTTGCAAGCTTAACCAGTTAGGTTTCGGAAGAAGCGACACCTCTTTAAGTAATTTTTATTGTATTTGTCCCAAGGCATGATTTTTCGATGTGTCACAATGTCCGAAGTCAGAATCTTAACACTGTCATAGTCTCCCTGCAAAGGAATTTGTTGCGATGGTAATGATGACGACAACGACGATGCCAGATTTTTTTCAGATGAAATGGACAGGTATTTTAACTTTGCAGATAGAAGTGTGGCATGAAGGGTTCGAGGATGGAGGATTTCCTGCTGAACGTTCCAGAACTTTAGAGACTTCTTTTCATGAAATAAAGAAACGATAGAAGGCAGATGTGACTTCAGCGAACGTGTCCTAACATCTTTTTTAAATTTATGTAAACTCGTTATTACCAATATTAATGGTAAGTGATATGGTCGATTTGTAAAAGTGTCAGACACACCACGATCTAGAATTTTTTCAAAAATGTATTTAAAATAATGGGTATATTAGAAAAATCAACCAACATTGGCAAATCCTATAAACATAATATGTAGCAGTGAGAGGGTTTCTTACTACCAGACCCTATGATTTCAAAATGTCTTCGGGTACAAGTATTAAAAAATGTTACACGACGTAAAATGTGTATCTGTGCGATATCTCTGTATAAGAAACCAACAATCGTAGGACATCATTCAATTTCTTTTTAGAAAATGGAAGCACAGAATCGAATTCCTTTCCCCGCAGTATCCAGAAATATTTGACATTTTTATTGCGTGTTCATTAATTCGAAATGAAACAAAAGTTGCTTTCAAATTTCAAAAAAAAAAAAACAAAATGAAACGAACCTCTGCTTTGGAAAATTGGATTTTAAAATATTGAAAATGCTAAAAGTTATATCGAGAGCGTGGCTTGAACATCCAATGGTACTGTGGCGTGATTCCGCGAGGCGATTTTGAAAAACTTCCTGGTTCTACGCTGGAGCGAGACCTCAAACTCCGTTCTTAAGGAGTGGTTCGTTCCTAGTTAATAGTATTAATTTCTAGCTTAATTACTTTTTATGTCTAGCTATACTTGCCATTGTTACAATTCCGAATTTGTATTGGCACCTAGAAAAAAGTGAGAAAGAAGACCAAAATTAATTGCGACGAAATTGTAAAATTGATTTCATTATGTGTTGTAATCGTTGTAGTGCAAATGGAATGCATTAATATTTTAATTAATGTGTACCATATTCTCACTACTAATTTGTTCCATTTTCTTGCATTGCGTTTCACTCTGATGCTTTGACAAAACATGAATATCATAAACAAGATTGTTTTATATTTTTTTCTTACTTAAGGTCGCATCAACTTCTAGGTCATTAGCGACCACTATTGCATGTACCGGTATGGTAACTGTAAGGATGATGATATGGGTGTGAAAACACAATACAATCATGCCCGAGGCGGGGCTCGAGCCCGCGATCATTCGGGTCGAGATCGCTACGGCACTACAGCCTTAGCGATCTCGGCCATCCGGACTGGCATTGTTTTATATTGTTTTCATTAATTTGTAGCAAATGGAAAATGATTCATTGAATCTGGAATGAATACGTTTTCGTTAGAGATACGTCGTAGCACATAGTCTTGTGTAACAGATACTAAATTGCTAAGTAATGAACTTTGATTTATATGCAGATATTTGTTACTTTGTAATTCCCTTCGTACTAAGAATTTCCCGAAAATCGTTGCTCTTCGTAGGCTCTTTGAATTTAAGAAAATTAAATGAAGCTTTCACAGAAACCGTGTATTTGAGCTAATACGCTTGATGACAATGTCATGTTTTGTCGATATAGAGTAGTGCATGATTTGGTCGTAATCGAGATATGTCAATTTTTCTAATGCGTATCTGTGTCTCTTATTTAATTATTTGTCTTCATGAAATTGAATGTGATAGGAAGTGCAGAAACGTGTCTCATTGAAGTTAGCAAATTTACTCATCAAATGAGTTTTGACAATTCCTAATTTTACTATCAACAATTTAGGTATATTCCAGAACTTTCTCCTCACATTAGATATGGAGCAGAGTTTCATCGAATGCTCTCAAAAGAGGAGAGATTGCGAGTCAGTATTTCCTATTTGTGACTATCAAGCACAATGTAAATTTATGTTTGTATAATTTATGTTTGAGTTTGCAGCATCTATATACAGCAATTATGTATTATTAATATTGTGAAATCCGGTAATCTAGTTTTTTTTTTTTTTCAAACGACTGGAATTACGGTCCCAGCGTTATGTTTCTCACATTGTGTGAACGTTAGGTTTTAATTTCGATACTTTCAAAAGGGCTTCATTAGTGAAATTTAATATCATGATAATTCTATCTATATGAAGAGATAACGGGGCATCAGTTACGTTACGGTCGGAAGCGTGCGTCTCGAGAAACACGTCTTCAGGGATAATGAACACATGCGTGTTGCCAGGAACTGAATTGGAGAGCGAAACCAACAGGTACCCGTTCATGTGCACTTTACAGTTAGAAATTTTCGCAGTTCTTACCATTAATGAAGTGTGAAATGATTTCCCCCACTAACCAGATAGAAAAATTGTAAGTTTATTCCTCGAAAGAATTCTTATGGGGGGAAAAAATGCGGCAAATGACGCTTTCTTGAAAGAAATTATTCGTTAAGCGTTTTAATAATTAGTTCGTTGTAGATGAAGTGTCATGAATTTCTGCATCCGTCGCTCCCGAGTGCCGTTCCTCGAGAGCGGAAGAGAGTTCTCGGCAGTCGGACGCCTGGGTTCGCTAGTGCTCTGAGCCCGGTGCCCCTCGGCTCGGCAGCGTAGGGGCTCTCCTCGGCCTTGTTGCAAAATCAAGGGGAAGCCGTGTCGTTTTACGATTTCTCGGAGGGTGCGAGTCGACTAAACACGCCAGCTGCGCCGTGTCCCGCTGTTTGAACGTTTCCATTTGGTTTACCGATCTAATTCTGTATGTTCGGTCGGGCCCGCGGAGGCCGCTTCTCGCGCATAGCGTTTTGCGGTCGGTTAATTTTAACTGAGAGTCGCATTGTATCATCGTCTGGTTTAGTAAATACTCCTCCTAGTTTCGCATTCCGCGGGCGGGCCGGCGGGGCCCGCGGCCCATGGCCGGGCCGGTGCGCGCCGCGGCGGCGGCAGCAGCGTCGGAGGCGGCGGTGGAGCGGCATGGCGGACGCGGACGGCGGCGTTCGCCGCTTGGCTCTCCTCCGTCGCCGCCGCCGCTCCTTGCCGGCGTGGAAGATATCCAGCGCGCTGAGCGGCCGTCCGTCCGCTGCCGCTGCTGCCGATGACGACTTCGATGGCGCCCAATTTCGAGCCCCACAGCCGCCGCTGTTTAATGTCCTTTCACGCAACAGCCCCGCTGGGCAGCATTTAGGAGTTAAGGAGGAATGATAACAATCGAAGGAATTATGTCGAGATTCGAGTAAATTATCAATGTTTTTGGTACATTAGTGGTTCCCAACCCACCTACAATACCGCACAGTTCAACGTGATAGAAAATGGCGGATTCGGCGGCATAAAGGAATGCGCTACTTCCTAGAGTCGTATCTAGGTATTCAGAATTGCCTAGAATTTGCGTCCCTGTCAGGATGTTTCAAATTAGGGTTGTTGTTCTTGTTTTAACTGATACCCGCTAAAATTACACTCCGGAGAGTGCTGAGAGTGGTGCCCATGGCACGTACCATGTCTGGCATACCGGAGATACGCCTCTGCTAGTTTCTATATCCAAGGGCTCTAGCACAAATCTCCGGCCAGCGCTCTCTCCTGGTGACTAGTTGCCTTCACCTCAAGTGGATCGTAGTACTCCGTTAATCAGACGATTTTCTGGTCCCCAC